GTATTATACAGCGTCTGTCATAAGAAAAGGTGATTATTATATAACGACCAGTGCATCTTACATGTGCGGTGTATAAGTAATGAACGGGAAATGATTAAATTCTTGTTATTATCATTTTAATCAGAATCTTATTAAATATGCAATGAAATATTGTTATATAATTTACTATAACAGATCGGCTGCCTGTATAGACAAAGTATATCCTTTCTTTTTAAAAAATGCTTAAATAATAAAATATTGTAAAAATTGTAGGTGTTATTGTTAACATTTATACAGTAAAATAAAATTAATACTAAATATTTGCAATATGTTAGTGTCATTATCTAAAAATAACAAGGAAAAAGTTAATTCATTCGATTTAAAAGGGAATGCATACCTAAAGTGTTAATTTAGATTTATTATAAGTTATATATATATATATATATATATATATATATATATATATATATATATAAAATGATTTATATCTCTGATATAAATAGTATTTTTATAATACATTTATTATAAAATATATTATTACTTTTATCGAATTTCAAACAAATATGTGTAACACTATCCTTTCTACTCAAAATCTTAATTTAAATACATAAAATTTAAACTCTATATAATAAATGTTGTTTTCAAATTATATCAAATAAAGTAATATACATTGTGTTTTGTATACACTATAGATTAAAATTCTCAAAAACTTTATATGATAAAACACTATTTACTAATAAACTAGGGTAATACATTTTACCTAATTAATATAGTACAATTTCTTATAAAATTTGTTCTTTCAAATTTTATTTTATTTTCTTTTTTTTTTATTAAGAATAATAGAAACATATAATTAATAATTTAAATTATTAATAGTTGATAGTATTTGATTAACAAGTAAGCCGTAATAGTAAAAATATTCGTATGAACAATAATGTTATGAAGGTTAATATTATTTATTATGTGCAACAAAAATCTACAAGTAAATTGACACATATCTACATAAAAACAAATAAAAAGCTAAATTCGTTATTTAATAGAATATACGAATGACTTTAGTTTTTAAACATATTTTTAGTGCTATACACTTTTTGGCTGGTGGACTTTACATTTGCGATAGTAATACGCATCCCAATACGGAAAAAATGCTTTATCCACTTTCTCTACGAATGTGCAATCTAGCAAGTACTCTATGTTTCTTTTGTACCTTGTACGCGCAAATATTCCCTCGAGTATAGATTTCAACATACATATTCTCATAAATACGCATAGAAGCTTGAATTGTGATGCTCGTTCTAACATATTTGCAATGTTTCATGGTAGAAAACCGTAACAGAAATTGCAGGGATGTATGCGTAAAACCCTACTCAGATAATGTTTAGTTATATAAATAAACAAAATTTTTTGTAACTATTGTTAAGAAAATTGCTTGTTATATAATAACTAATTATAGCGGTTAAATTATAATGTAATATTACAATTCACAAAAATTCAGTTGTATTAACTATTAAAAATTATACAAATATATATATATATATATATATACATACATAATGTTTGTTAAATTAGAAATTTTATCATTTACTTTATTTATTTATTTTACTTTTAGTATTAACGCATAATTTTCACTCTCTATTATAAATATTTCAATTTCATTTCCTATTCATCAAATTGTATATTTGTTAAACAATTTTTATTGATTGAACCGATTAAATAAAAAATATACCATTATATATATATATATATATAATGAGTTCTATGCTCGTGACAAATTTCAAGTAGGAAAATTATTCCATTTTACAGTAATAACTCCTGTCATAATTTCATTGTCAATCAGAAATAGTTCAATTCTTGTACACTGGGCTCGGTTCAGTTGGATCTATAATTCTATAAAATTCGATTTCTGTTTCATTCGACTTTCTATGTAT